TACAAAAGTTACAGCAATACAGAAGTTAATGAGAGTTTGGTAATTACAGGTGGGAGAGGGCTTACCGCTACCTCTCTTTAGTGTTCCTCAGCTGGCCGTGACACTTAATAATCTAGAGCAGCCTCGCAAACCTAATGAGTGTCCCTGTGCACTCCGAGATAGAGGGAGGGAGAGAGGCAGGGAGGGAGAGAGGGAGGGAGGGAGGGAGAGAAGGTAGGGAGGAGGAAAAGGTAGGAAACGGATGGAGGAGGTGAAGGGGGTGAGGGGGGGGGGGGGGGAGGGAGAAATGGTTGGTAGGAGGAAAAGGGAGAAAACAGCGGGAGAAGAGCGGAAAGTAGAAAAAGGAGGAAAGAAAAGATACGAAATGGAGAGAGGGTAAGAGAAGTGGTGATGAGGAGGATGGGAGAAGAAAGAAGAAGAAGGGGAAAAGGTGAAACGAGAGGGAGACAAAAGGTACAAAGGGAGAAGAGGGAAGGTTTGGGGAGGGGAGTGGAAGGGAGAGGTAAAAGAAAGGAGAGGAATTAGAGAGGAAAGAACGAAGTGGAATGAAAGGCAAAATGACAGATAGAATTAATGAACACCGGTAGGAGAAGAGAGAGAGAGAGAGAGAGAGAGAGAGAGTGAGAGAGAGAGATAATGATGATGGAGGTATCGGGGTCACTAGAGCAGACTAAATAAAACTACTTTATTACATCAAGGTATGTTTATCTTCATTTGTGTGTGTTTTTGTGTACGCATATACAGAGTGTGTGTGTGTGTGTGTGTGTGTGTGTGTGTGTGTGTGTGTGTGTGTGTGTGTGTGTGCAAGAAGAGGAAGAGAAAAACACCCTGAAAGAAAAGTTACAAAGAGCTAAATTGCCTCATAAGCTGACCAATCACAGGCAACCTGATCGTGTTGACAAGGCTAAGTTCCCTGTGGTAGAGTTTCTCAAAGTCAAGCTCAGTTCTGATTGGTTACCGCTGGTCCAGATAAACCCCTGGTTTCATTCAAATAATAGTAGGGAGGAGGAAGGAGCGTGTGGGGGGAGGACGATATGGGGGATAAGGGGAGGGGGCGGGAGAGATGATTGCTGGGGGGATAGGTGTAGGAGGAGAAGGGTGTCCTGGTAGGTAGGTGTAGAGGGGAGGTGAATGAGGGAGGGGAGGAGAGTGGAGGCGTGTGAGGGAGGTGAATGAGGGAGGGGAGGAGGGAGGGGAGGGAGGGGAGGTGAATGAGGGAGGGGAGGGAGGTGAGTGTAGTAGGGAGGGAGGTGAATGAGGGGAGGGGAGGAGGTGAGGTGGGGAGGGAGGGAGGAACAGGGAGGGAGGTAGGGTGAGTGTGGGGAGGAGGAGGTGAATGAGGAGGAGGTAGGTAGTGTGGGAGGGAGGAGGTGTGAGGAGGGTGCAGGAGGAAGTTAGTCTGGGGGGGCAGGTAAGGGGGATCCTTGAATGTTATGATTACGTCCTTTCTCACACAATACCTGGCTCTTGGAGAACGATAACACAGGTAAGTGGTTATCACAATCATTTTTATAGGACAATGATTCTTATAAAAGTCAATAGGTGTAGGTAGTAGGTGTGTGTGTGTGTGTGTAAATATCGGTTATAGCTTGTACTAGCCTTAGAAATTAGTGTCACGTTAACTTTAAAATTACTGAACTTAAATTATACAGAAATTCATCTGTACAAACAGTACGTGTTTAACTTGGTATGGCAAGATATGAACTTTCTGTCACGCACACACACACACACACACACACACACACACACACACACACACACACACACACACGCACACACACACACACACACACACACACACACACACACACACACACACACACACACACACACACACACACACACACACACACACACACACACACACACACACACACACACACACACACACACACACACACACACACACACACACACTCACTTCCTCCTGGCTTACGGCCTCCCCTCTCAGTGTTCAACCATTTGGAATTGCCAACAAACTCCTGAAATTTTAATCCAAACGCTCCACAACCCCAATTGACCTCCCAATCAAAATTTACAAGGAATTTGCAGTCGAACTTGCTACCCCCCTCTGTTCCATTATTAATGCATCCCTCAGACAAAGCAAATGCCCTAATGAATGGAAAACCGCATTTGTCACCCCTATCCCCAAGGTCCCCACCCCACAGTTTCCTAACGACCTCAGGCCAGTTGCCATTACCCCCATACCCAGTCTACTCTGCTTAGTTAGTTTCCTGGATTTCCTGCACAAAAACCTGCAGAAACGTAAGACATCAGTGGCCGTTGCCCTTGTTGACTTCAAGAAGGCTTTTGACCTTGTTGATCACTGCACTGTTATCAACAAAGCCATTGCACTAGGTCTGCCCACCAACCTGGTATCATGGGCCACCGATTTCCTGAGTGAGCGTTGTCAGGCAGTGAGGTACCATGGTTCTGTCTCCACATTCCAACACCTCACCTGCGGTGTTCCCCAGGGGACCAGGATGGGACCACTGTGCTTCCTAATCCTGATCAACGACGCTCTGTCGGACATTCCTCACAGGTGGAAGTACGTGGATGACTGCACTGTGGGGGTTACAGTGGACAACACCTCACCGAACTACTCATCGATACAAGGCACCCTGGACAGGCTAGAGGCATGGACTACGGAGAACAAGGTCACCATCAACCACACCAATACCATAGCCATGCACATCAATACTACCACCACTCCAGTGCAAGCTCCAGCAGTCACAGTGGGTGCCCATCCTCTCCAGCCAGTGCAGTCTGCCAAACTCCTGGGTGTTACCATAGACCACAAACGGGACTGGAAGGCCCATGTAAACAACACAGTCAAGGCAGCCTCGTACCTACTCTACATGCTACAACGACTCTGGTCACTTGGGGCACCCACGCCAGAGCTGAGGACGATCTCCAACTCTACCCAACAACGTCAGCTAGAGAAGGTACAGAAAAGGGCCTGCAGAATCATGCTCGGCGCAGACTACTCCGGCTACAACAACGTTCTCTCAACCCTTGAAATGCCATCCCTCAGTGATCTCCACCACCAAGCACTAGCAAGGTTTGGCAGTGGACTACCGCACCATCCTAGTCATCGCCACCTCCTGCCACCGACAGTCCCCCGCCCACCTCGCGCAGTCTGCCACTACAACAAAATTCAGCCCATAGGAGCCCGCACTGATAGATATAAGAATAGCACCATCCCATCTATTGTTAAAATAATAAACAACTCCTGATTTATGTACTGTACAGCCTTGTAAATGTATTGAATGCATATCATTATGTCTAAATCACATGTAAGTTTGTATATTTTCAGCCACCGGCTGCAACTCTATTAATAAACCGTTTATTATTATTATTATTATTATTATTATTATTATTATTATTATTACACACACACACACACACACACACACACACTCTTTAAAAAACCCTAATATGCCCCACTTAACCACTTGAGAAGAAGAGCTAAAATTTCTCCTGGTAATCACTGAGGCCCTTGAGTATGATGATTGATCCTCTTCAAGGAGATACTTGACCTAAGCCCTTAAATTCTTTGACTAACTCCTATATGGTGTTATGGGTTTATCCCTTTATGCCTGCCTCTTTGTCTTTCACTAACACTTAATTTCACCCTTGTACAGTATGAACATCAGACACCAGCAAGACGTAGCCATGGCAAGCCTCAATATATAATCCTACATTTAAGAGTGTTCAGTACTCATATTTCTTTATCATGATTTATATTTCAGAATGTTGTGATGTTAGTGCCCCTATCACTTGTCCTATTAATACACAAGGAATGTTTATGAAGCCTAAGAAAAAACGATCACTTCACCAAACATTAGCAGCTTCCACTGTGTTCTAAGCTGCTGTCATACTGGTAAGCTTTTTCCAGATGTTTGAAGAATGTGACACCTGAAATATTTTACTCTACTGTGGAGTGTTCTTGGGTAATCACGGAACTTGAAACATAAGGGTGTTCAAAATGCCTCCTAGAAGCCTATCTGCCATTGAGTAGAACTGACACTGTGCCAGTTCATAAAAACTCCTCCTAAATATCCCCTCTCGTTTTATGTCTCACCCCCCCCCCCCTCAACCACTCTTCTTCTTCCTCTCCAGTCATGGGTTCGATTCCTGGCCAGAGTGGAGGATTGGCTTCCTTTCTTGGACATTAATCCTGGTCACCCATCAAATGAATACACTCGGCCAGGTGTGCTTGCCTATGGCTCCTCAGTGTAATTTATATATATATATATATATATATATATATATATATATATATATATATATATATATATATATATATATATATATATATATATATGGGTCAAGCTCTGCGTTATAATTGAGAGAGAGAAACACCTACGTCACCCACACCCCGTCACCATCAAACAATACCTCTCGTGTGACTCTCAAGACAGACACCTCCAGGCACTCCTGTGCTGCTCCTCACCTTCTCCAGGAGACGACGGCGAAGGTGGGGTGGGGTGGGAGGGTGGGGGGTGACCCACCAGCAGGGGATAAAGACCCAAGTCCGAAACACAAAGAACCAGGCCGTCAGTCTCAGAATTTATCGGTCTGGAATAAAGACTCTGAAGGGAAGTCGGAAACTCATTTTTTCTCTTTAGTATTCAGTTCAAACGCACGGTCCCTCGACATCCCCAGAAGACAGCGATTTACGAATATGAATGTGTTGCCTGCCAGCCTCCTCGACCCGCCTCACCCCGCCCACCCCTCACCTCTCATCCCTCACCCACTTCTCTCCGTCTCCGGGGTCGGGAGTTTTTGGTCGGGTCACAGCGGCTTCGCATCTTGGGGGTAATCATGCTTGATCATAGCAGGTGCTGGTTATAGGATAGTGACGTTAAGTCACAACAGGTACGGGTTATCTTGTGACCTGTACCTGTTGTGAGTTACAAGTCCTGCAGGAATCGGTCTAGGATAAAAGTAGGTCACAGGTTTTTCTGGGTAATCAGGCCAGGTCATAGCAGGGGAGGTCACAGCAAGGGCACATGGGAGGTTCGTAGTGAACTACAGTGTAGGGCACAGAGGGACACAGTGAGATACAGGGAGATACAGCGGGACATAGAGGGACACAGCGAGATGCAGGGATTCACAGGGAGGTACAGCGGGACACATGGAGACACAAAGAGACACAGCGGGACACATGGAAACACAGCGGGATGCAGGGAGACACAGCAGAACACAGGGACATACAGCGGGACACAGGGGACATAGGGAGACACAACGGGACACAGGGGGACATAGGGAGACACAGCGGGACACAGCAGCATGATACATGGAGATACAGAGGACATGCAGTGACACAGGGCATACTGTATACATGTGGAGATCAAGGGAGACACACAGCGGGGACATGAGACACAGTGGGACACATGGAGACTTAAGGAGACACAGTGACACATGGAGACACAAGGGACACAGACACAGCACACATGGAGACACAGCAGGACACATGGAGACTTAAGGAGACACAGGGACACATGGAGACAGCGGGGACACAAGGAGACACAGTGACACATGCTGGAGACACAGCAGGACACATGTGTGGGAGACTTAAGGAGACACAGTGGGACACATGGAGACACAGCGGACACTCTTAGGGAGACAGGAGACTTAAGGAGACACAGCAATGCACATAGAGATACAGGGGGCATAAGGAGACACAGCGGGACACGGGGAGACACAGCGGGACACGGGGAGACACAGCGGGACACGGGGAGACACAGCGGGACACGGGGAGACACAGCGGGACACAGAGACACAGGGGACGCAGGGACACAACAGGACACAGGGAACATAACAAGGCACATTGGGATACAGAGGGCATAGGAAGACACAGAGGGACACAGAGATACGGGGAAACACACCTGGGCACCGGGGGATACAGGGAGACACAGGGGGAGACACAAAGCCCTGGGACAATCGGGACCCGGGTAAATTGGCTGGTAATTATTTGTATCAATAAATAAGGAGCCGCTGGTATCGATCGCTGGTGTACCTGCTACCTAGACACTCCCCCTTTACTACACCCCTACCACCTTCCCCTTAACACCACCCCATCCCACCCCTTAATCTAACTCTAGCCCATCCGTAACCTTCCCCCTTTACTTCACCCCCTACTACCTTCCCCATAACACCACCCCGTCCCACCCCTTAATCCAACTCTAACCCATCCATAACCCTCCCCTTTTTCTTCACCCCTACGACCTTCCCCATAACACCACCCCGTCCCACCCCTTAATCCAACTCTAGCCCATCCATAACCCTCCCCCTTTACTTCACCCCTTAACCTTAACACCACCCCATCCTACCCCTTAATTCCACACCATCTCAACCATAACCCTTCCGCCTTCACCGCACTCACCCCTACCATTCCCTTAACCCCTCCTTAGTCCACCTTGTCCCTCCTTCACCTCGTCTCTCCTTCACCTCGTCTCTCCTTCACCTCGTTCTCTCCTGCACCCCACCCCTGAACCTTCTTAATGAGCCGAGGATAGTTGTCACGATTTAAGTACCGGGTGAAGGTGTGTCTGTGTGTGTGTGTGTGTGTGTGTGTGAGAGAGAGAGAGAGAGAGAGAGAGAGGGGAAGCAAGTGTGTATGGGAGAACGGAGTCTTGAAAGTGTGTTCAAGTTGGTTTGTACATTTATCCGTAAGTTTATAATTTGTTGGAAGCTTCAGTAAAAGAAAACGAATTTATAAGTACATATGTGAAAGGAAGCTATAAGTCAATTTCAAGTTGTTTTAGATTATTTATTTTTTTGTCTGTGTTTTCCATTTTTCGCGCCAATTTCTGTGTTTTAGTTCTGGTTTGTATTTGAGCGTTATAAACCTTTATTACCATTCATCAAAATGCCTTAACGAATAAAATGTAAAGAAAAATTCGTTCACGTTGAGGGATTAGTTTCTCTGCCTCGTGAGATCAACCTTTGTACCACCTGTAAAGAATATTTGGCGAGTTCCAGAATGAGGATAAAAATACTCATACTACCAAGACTACTACTACTACTACTACTACTACTACTACTACTACTACTACTACTACTACTGCTACTACTACTACTACTACTACTAATAATAATAATAATAATAATAATAATAATAATGAAAAAAAGGGGCGTTTACATTATCCTGTATATAATATTTTTATAGCCCACTGTATCTAAACTTTTTCTCGTACTCAGTTCCTCGTGTGTACCTAAACTTCCTTTTGCATTTAAACGCTTCGGTCCTTCTATTTTCCATCTAATATCTTCTTTACCTGTACCTTTCCTTACATCTGAACATCCGTCTTCACTATATCATCACCTATATTCAAGTATTCCTTTATATTTGGTACATGATCTGAACTTCAATCCTTCCTTACGCTTAAACTATCCCTAAAACAAAGCTTTACCGTGTTAAGAAGCCATCCCTTAGTTTGTGTCCAGCCCGGGAGGTCGGTGGGAGGCGAGCATTGTTCGCTTAGCATAACAACACGGGGGATATGAGAAAACCTTGAGCACAATAGATATGAAGTTTGCAGAGAGCCAACCTTCCCTGTTTACCCTCCTTCCGGGCCAGCAGGATTGTATACACACGCGCCCCTTCCTGATACTCCTGCTGGTGGTGGGTGGGTGGTTGTGAGGATCGTAGGACTCCTGTGGGGATGCCTGAGGGCACTGTGGGGTGGGTTTGTATACACGCACAAGGGCTTCTTCTAACTTCTGCTGGTGAGTGTTATGACGTTTGTAAGACTTCTGGGGCAGGGGGAGATAGTCAGAGGTGAGGTGAAGGGGGTCGCGGTAGATGATGGATTTCTCGGCGTTGTGGGAGTGAATTTTGACACAAGAACTAAAGGACTCAGTGAGTGAGGAGTGTTTGGAAAAATGGACCAGGGTTCAGTTGTTTATAGTTTGCGCTGTTTCTTTTACATATGTTTATCAATTCACTTCCAGTTTTTAATATAATTATTAACAAGATTAATGCTTTGACACTAAAAGTAAGCAGAAACCACATGGAGCCACTTCCTGGATCGCAATTGAATTAATTTTTGTAAAAGTTCAAAAAGAGATTATTGACATATTGGTGAAGTGGCAGTAGAAAACGGCGCGAAAATTGAAACTGAACTTATGCCTTTTCCTTCCGTGAGTGAACAGCGAAAAAGGAGACAGAATTTAGTGGGATCCGTAGTGGGGCTTTTAGATCTCAGATTTAAGGCAAAGGCGGCGCCGCTCTTAACCACATATGCAATAGTTACTTTTATCTGTCAACTACCATTTTCTCATCGCTCTTTGGCTTACCTTTTACAACCTCGAGGGTTTGAGTGGGCAGAGCTGCTTCCTCTACCTCGTGTTATTTCCTACTTAAGATAAATTTACATGAGTAGTCTAGAAGGTTATACCCAGAAATAATTTACCTATAATATGGAAGCCAATATACACGAAGGATTTTATCTCTGTAGTCTGGAGAGATGAGATCCAGGAAGAAGGCTATAATGCATAAGTAATCACTGACAGTAACTAGACTTGGAGGCCGACAAGAAACCGGTGTAGAATGAGAGGCCGGCAAGATGCTGCTCTAGACTGGGAGGCCGACAAAAAAACTGGTGTAGACTGGGAGGCCGGCAAGAGGATGGTGTAGACTGAGAAGCCGGCAAGAGGAGGGTGTAGACTGAGAATCCGGCAAGAGGAGGGTGTAGACTGAGAGGTCGACAAGAGGCTGGTGAAGACTGAGAGGCCGGCAAGATGTTGCTGTAGACTGAGAGGCCGGCAAAAGGCTGGTGTAGACTGAGAGGCCAGCAGGGGACTGGTGTAGACTGAGAAGCCAACAGGGGACTGGTGTAAACTGAGAGGCCGGAAGAGGCTGGTGTAGACTGAGAGGCCGGCAAGGGGATGGTGTAGACTGAGAAGCCAGCAGGGGGCTGGTGTAGACTGAGAGGCCGGCAAGATGCTGCTGTAGACTGGGAGGCCGGCAAAATAGCTGGTGTTGACTGGGAGGCCGGCAAGAGGATGGTGTAAACTGAGAAGCCGGCAAGAGGAGGGTGTAGACTGAGAGGTCGACAAGAGGCTGGTGAAGACTGAGAGGCCGGCAAGATGTTGCTGTAGACTGAGAGGCCAGCAAAAGCCTGGTGTAGGCTGAGAGGCCAACAGGGGACTGGTGTAGACTGAGAAGCCAACAGGGGACTGGTGTAAACTGAGAGGCCGGAAGAGGCTGGTGTAGACTGAGAGGCCGGCATAAGCTGGTGAAACACGGAAGAACTTGTAAGGCGTCACCGTCCAGGAAAACATTACTAGTGACTCAGGGATGATTGAAGGCAAGTGTGTCATAATAAAAAAAAAACAAAAAAAAAAAAACACAAGGGGCAACTTATAACTTTCTTTTTTATATCTCCTTTAGTCTTGTTTATATCTTTCTTTCTTCCTTTGTCTCGTATGCTTATCTCATCCTCTATTTTCATTTGTTTTATGTAATTTTAGCCCTTAAATCTCTCTGTCGACTTACCCACTTATGAAAGATCATATTTTAGTACCATCGTGTTTCTTGGGCTTCTTTCCTCCTACGTTCTTCTTCTTCTTCTTCTTATTCCGCACCCTACCTACCTAACCGTCCACCTCACCTACCCACCTCCCTCCCCGTACCCCTATATAACACCTGCATAGGACAATTAGATTAACGCGACAAGTGGGAGACAGAATCAGTAAAGTGTACCAAAGAATCGTAATCAAATCGTTTCTAGTGATGAAGGTGTTTTTCACGGGTTAGTGTGCAGTGTACCGCGCCTATGGGTTCGCTCACAACAAACCATCTAATCATTATGGTAATTTTACGGATTCATTTATTACGAGTCATCTCCCGGCTAATTTATTATGAGGGATTATTTATGACGATTTGTCTTTTGTATTGCATGAGTCAAGGGGACATTTAAAGCGAACCATTTACTGCCATGGTAATTATAGTCTCATTCATTTCGAACCATCTACTACCACGGTATATACGGGTTCACCAAAGAAGAAAATATTTATAAGTTCATCCGGGGCAGAAATAGAAAAACAGTCTCTCGTCTCCAGCTGTTCTACTCACAAGTTCATCCTCCAAATCCTCTTCCTAGTTCCATCACTTTGGCCGCACCGACCATCACCATCTTGAGGTGTTGCCCCCCCACACGCACTAAGTCTAGCTACCACCTCCTCCATCCTCCAGCACCTTTCCTCCTCCTCCCGTCTATTATCCCCACCTATGTCAACCTCCTCTCCTTCTTTAATAGCTTTCCTCAGTTGTTTCATTCACTCCTCCGCCACCTCGTATTTCACCACCCTACGACGTGTTCTCAATCTCGCTCCCGGCCCCGCCTCCCTCCCTACCTCTCCTAAGACCCCTCCCTCCCTACCTCTCCTAAACCCCCCTCCCTCCCTCCTTCTTTCCCTTCCCCCAAGCCCACCCATCCATCTGTGTGTGTGTTTTTTTAACCCATTTCCTCACAGTTACGTAAGTCGCCCCCCTGAGAGTCTTGTCCCAGCGAATCATAGCGTCACTCTTTGTTTACATTGATCGTAACAGAGGCTCGGAAGGTATTGTTATATTTAGGGTTGATTACTTTGATTATAATAAAGAAGTGGGAACAGTATACTTGGGTGATGATGTTGATGATAATAGAGGATTGGAGATATTGTTATATTTGGTGATATTAACGATGGAGTAATGAATCTAATGTTAGATTTCGTGAATATTACGTTGATATTTACTGGTAATTATATGATGTCGATGATCAGTGTCCCACCTATCCTCTGGTCAACTTATTTCTACGCTGAGCCAGCCAAGAAGTATATTATT